AAAACATGTTTACAAAATACCACATGTGGGAAAGTGAGAAGAAAATTCAGTCAAGTTAACTTAAACATTCTTGTTTCCTATTGATTGTGTTTTTCTAATATTATGTTATACATAAAATATTAAAAAGTAGGTGTTTGTGAAAAAGACTGCAATGACTTTGCTTTAGAGTTTTTAATTGTATCGTTACTTAACACAAATTATGTCTTCTATATTTGACCCTAATTTACCTGAGATCTTGTAGAGCGTACCTGCCCCCAAAATTTATGTAGTCCAGTTTTTACTGTCTTCATGCCTATGCCACTGATTTTCAAATTATTCTTCCAGATTTTATTTTAGCTTAGCATAAACGAAATTTAGCACTACAGGAAATGGCAAAATATTAAATATCATAATAGAGTATTTTCAAATGAATGTGTGCCATAATAGTCACAATTATAAATTACAACTCTATTACCAAGAAAGAAAGATTAATGAGTTGAATATAGTATTTTATTTAAGATAATCTAAATTTAATGCACTCAGTGCTTAGTTCTCTGTGGGTGTGCATGTATGGCTATGCATCCATTATCATTCATCAATTCGACACTTCAAAATGGGTGTGTTTCATTTCCACATTTGTTTTTCTTTTCACTTTTCGTTTTAAATAAATTTAGTCATATAGTGGAAGTAACTGGTAAGCTGTATTTCAAACTGTATCGAAACTTTTTATGGACTTTTTTTTTTTTTTGCTTTGACTTCCTTGTTTTGTTTTTATTAAGAGTTATTTATTTCCACCTCCTCACAATGCTTTATGCTTTTTGTTCTCTCTTTATAAAGTAATTGCAAATTATATTTCAAAGTGTTATGGTTAAAAATGAATGTAGAAATGAAAATAGTTTCCTCTTTTTAATGAATAGCCTCTAGCCCCCAGCTCAGATCACTTTAACACTTGTCTTTATTGTCTCCAAATTCAACTAACTGATGTTTTTGATCCTGGATTGCTCCTATTTCTCATCTATGCTCTACATTTCCACTGTTTTTAACAAAGCAGAAACCTCACCTACCTAGCGTGGCTTACAGGAAATTGAGATTGCCCTAGTTTCACTTTGAATTGCTTGTTTTTAACCTATAACAGTTTGCAATGATGTCACTTTTATTTCAGACACGCTCAGAACATACTCCTTAAGACTATGGTTTGTTGAACTTCAAAATATAAAGTAATAAAGGTTACTTGTTATTTGGTTGTCATAGTGATACATTTGGGTGATGGTTCAAATGTTAACTTGCAGATTAAAGATAACAGTGAAGAAAATCCTGCAATATGAGGTAAAGCCTTATGGTTGCAAAAGAAATCTAATAAAAAGATGAATCAAGAATACTTATAGAGGCCGGGCGCGGTGGCTCACGCCTGTAATCCCAGCACTTTGGGAGGCCGAGGTGGGCGGATCACGAGGTCAGGAGATCGAGACCATCCTGGCTAACACGGTGAAACCCCGTCTCTACTAAAAATGCAAAAAATTAGCCGGGCGAGGTGGCGGGCGCCTGTAGTCCCGGCTACCCGGGAGGCTGAGGCAGGAGAATGGCGTGAACCCGGGAGGCGGAGCTTGCAGTGAGCCGAGATCGCGCCACTGCACTCCAGCCTGGGCGACTGAGCCAGACTCCGTCTCAAAAAAAAAAAAAAAAAAAAAAGAATACTTATAGATAGATGAAAGAGAAGAGATGTTTATCTTAGATGAAGATACGTTAACTATTCTACCAATCCAGGCTTCTGCTAATTATTTCACACATCACTTTATGCTCAATCAAAGGGAATAACCAAAGATGAGAAAGTGAACCCAAGTGGAGGCACTTCAGAGGCAATCCATCTGAGAATTTTGGGAGAAACTCTTACTTTTCTGTTCATTCATTGGGCAAGATGAAGAAAGCTCTTGACTTAATATATCATCTGTTCTTGTCTTTTTATTTGAAACTTGAGCCAAAAACTACACAATTGGCTATTTTTCTTTTCTTCTCAAATCTTTTATTGTTTTCTGAGGAAAGACTGGCAAACAACACTTTAATAAAATCGCAGATATCTGCTTGTTTCTTGGCCCTAAGTGCACGTTGGGAACAGTTGCTTTCTAGAAAGTATTATTAGGGTAATTAATTTAAAGTTTTAAAAATGCCTGTCCCAAATAGGTTTCTGCTTAATTACTTTTATGATTAGCCATTCCCTGCAGAATGTGACCCACATCACTCAAAATTACTTAACATTGGTTTTAAAAATACGGTAAAAGCTAACTTGATTGTTGTATAGACTACTTTTTTTTTTTTTCAATACAACCATCCTACACTATTACCATTCTGGATCATGCATAATTACTTAAATAAACCATGCTCTGTTGTATCTCTTTGATATGGCTCATGTCATTAATTATTTTCTGAAATGTGCTTTTTCTCATCTCCTTCTTAAAGTGTTTATTAACTCTGGAAAGACCTATCCAAATCTAACGTGAACAAAAAATCCTTCTCTAAACCACAAATTGCTGTTGTTCTAGTGTAGAATTATTAAAATAGATCATTTCATTGTGCTTTAATATAATTTTTGTAAGCATTTTCCTATAAGAATGTAAACATTATTTTATAATTGAATACCATTTTGCTTTGTGTATCAAAGTTTAACCATATTAGGCTATGTACTTCAGACCCTAACACTGCAGCCAGCATGTGGTATTAAATAACTCTTAGTTAAATAAAGAGTTGAATGCATGTTGAATCTCAAATGAACTTGTATTTTGTTGATGTTTATCATATTAATATTTTTGAAATATTTTAAACTGTGTTCCATAAATGTAGACAATCGGGATTTCATACGTGTGCATGATGTTTTAGAGTGGACGATAGGTCTTGATCTAGAAGCAAAACACGCAGTCAGGTAGTCTGCGTGATATGCATGGGGTAAGGTTGTAAATACTGGACGTGTTCACTAGATGAAACGAAATCTGTCAATATCTCTCTCACACAAAACTTTTCATTTACGTCTTACTCCATTGTATGTTGAAGTACACAAATTTCCACATTCTGTTGTTCTCAACACACTTGATGCCTCAAGACAAAAATAGAGAATGTCTTCTGGTGACAAAGGGACAGGAAGTAACAAATGGACAGGAAGTATCAGAAGAAATTAAACACATCAAATAATTTTATTTCTTTCTAGTATATTCTCTCTTCTTTTAGCAGTAGACAGTCTTCAACTACAGCAGGAGGAGCCTCAACCAATGAGGATTGATAACAAACTGCTAGGCTGTGTCTCACAAACCTTCAGCAATATGGCAGGCTGCAGTATTGAAGACAAAAACGTAGAAAGAAAACATCATTGTAATTTTAATGGCAAGAGAATTACAATAAAGAAGGCACATTATGTAAATATTTTCCAAGAATAAGAAGTTATTCAACTGCTCTTGTCATATAAGATTTTGAAATTTATAAAATCCTGTAGGCTGGACTACATTTGGTCATGTAACTAAATCTGCTCTGCTCTTCAAAACTGCTCTTCAAAAACAGAGTGGAATGTTTTAACCTAAAGTATTTAGATTTTTTAGTACTCTAACATGTACGATAAATTTTGTTTATTTTAAGTCAGCTTTTAAATGCATGTTTTAATTATAACATGTAATTGGCTGTATTTGAGCTTTATTTTCATAAAGCTGTTTTATGAGCTTTAATCACTGTTATTCATGTTACCAACTTTTATTCAATAAACTGAAAAAAATATATTTGGCTTTTAAATCAAATGCCTTAAAATAGAACATGTGGAAAATATAAAGTTCAATTTATTGACTGTTCACTTTAGTTACAATTAGTTATTCATTGATTTTTTCTCAACTCAATGTTACTGATTACATGAAATTTACTGAATCAACTTTTGTCCAAATGGATCCCCAATGAGTTAGCGAATTCCTGTTTTATAATAGAAATTATGTAAAACAGACTTATAAGTATTGAAATGTAGGGTTTGAATTGAATTTATCTAATATTGGTAACTATTTTCTCATCTAACATACTACATATTATTTTTTTACAATCAAAGCTAAGTATTTTCTTATAGGCTGGCTAGGCATGATAGGCTGATTTTGATATTATAATCTAATGGTTGTCTATTCAAAGCAAATTTATAATAGTCCCTTTAATATAAGGAGCTTGCAATATAGAGAAGGGGACAGATATTGCAAACATTAAAGGAAATTAGTGTAATATTTTATTACTTGTGTTATGATTGAGCAAAGTAGTATCACTGGGAAAAATTAGTAAAAAATACAAAAAAACCCTTATTTTTAAAAAAGGGATCTGGAAAACATTATAGAATAATGAAATTTAAGCTCAGTCCTTTAAATGTGACTACTACTTCAATAGGTAGAAACAGAGTATTAATTGGGGAATTCGTGGTGAGGAGAATAGAAAAAGCATAGATGGAGAATGGAGAAGAAAGTCAAGTGTACGTTATCCATATCACACATGGAGCAGGACTGTATGTAAATATGAACTCATAGATGTTCTGGAAAGCAACATTTCTTTGCATAGTAAAAATTACTTCATAATTTCTTTTGAATATTATTATTTGATTTATTAATATTACAACTTTTAGAAGTGAATTTTTTCCAAATGTTTGGTATTAACTTATAAATTATTTTAATTTATAAATTTAGCATATTTTGAGTGAAATGGAGTGCAATTTCCTGATCACAGCTCACTGCAGCCTCAAACTTCTGGGTTCATTCCCTCCAGAGTAGCTGGGGCTACAGATGAATACCATTATGCCCAGCTAATATTTCCATTAAATTTGCTTCAATTGCCTGACTACTAAAACCTTCCCAAGTAAGTGTTAGCTTTATCAATATAAGAGGCCCTTATAGTCCTAAATACTGCAATAACATTATATATTTGTGAAATAAATAGCTCCATTTTATTCACTTAATCAAAATTTTAATTCAAATCACAATTACAGTAGATTGTCTCAATGGCTGAAGTCACTAGATTAAACAATCGATCACGTTGAAGTGTTTCCTGATGCTGGTATGATCACTAAGGAACTTTCTCAATGCGTTGCACTAACTGGAGGTGCTGCACTGGTTGCTGATTACGGTCATGATGGAACAAAGACAGATGACTTCAGAAGGTTTTGTGGCCACAAGTTTCATGTCTTAATTGCCCCAGGAACAGCAGATCTAACAGCTAATGTGGACTTCAGTTATTTGCAAAGAATGGCACAGGGAAAAGTAGCGTCTCTGGGCCCAATAAAACAACACACATTTTTTAAAAATATGGGTATTGATGTCCAGCTGAAGGTTCTTTTAGATAAATCAAATGAGACATCAATGAGACAGCAATTACTTCAAGGATATGATATGTTAATGAATCCGAAGAAGACGGGAGAAAGATTGAACATTTTTGCCTTGCTACTTCATCAGAGACTTCAAGGTGGAAGGAATCAGATGAATGTATGTCAGTTAAAACGTTATGCATCTCCTGTAGCTGGGTTTAGTGAACTTGTTTGGCAGTTATATCTCAGCTTGGATATTTTACCCTTTGGTCTGCCCAGGAAATCAAAACAAAGGAAACACATTTCATACATTGCAGGTAAAAAAAGAAACACAAAATACACAAAATATCAAAATGTTGTTTTGATTTATTTTATTCCCTATATTTAACTCTAAATTTCTTTAGGTTAGAAAGACTTTGCCTACATTGAAGTGCTTTCCCCAGAAAACATTGACCAATAACTTCACAGTGGAACTTTCATATGTAATCAGAGATAATCTTCAGCTCTCCATTCTGTACTCCCACCTAGACACATAACGGATTCTTACCTACATTTATGACCACTATAACAGAAACTTCATAACTTATTCACAGGAATTAATCATAAAGTTCATATCCTCAGATCCATATTACATAATTACTTAATTATTCTCTACTCAAAGATGTCCAAAAACCCTTGCTGGATATTTAAATAACTAAAGGAATGAATACGATAAGGAATAAAAGATAAAAAATCATCAAGAAGCCAATATCTAGACATAGGTATTTCATATCAACACTTTTCTTCCTCTTTTGTGTTCCATAGTAATGAGAGTCTATTTTGTTCAATGTCTGTTATAAGACTTTGCTTTGTTTTTCTACTTATGATTTTTAATATCATCTCAATTGCAATATAGTTATGTTTTTTCTTTCTGGTCTTTTTAATTTTACCAAAGTACTATGCATAGGATTGGTGCTTAATATACACTGTAATATTGTTCTTTATCCACCAATATGAACAAATTTAATGCTTTTTAAAATTGCCATTAAATAGTAATATGTTTTCTCCATGGAGATATTGTTTACATTAGGAATAAGTCATAAGTAAGATAATCACACAGTCTGCAAAGAAGACTGTGACTTGGATTATAGAAATCTGTCAGAATTAACAATACTCTAATGCTTCTAAGAGATGTGCATTCTACATCATTTTAATTATTCTAATATTTTTGAATTATACAATAAGAATTATGTGAGTATCATTAGAGGAGAAGCACTTAGATTGTAATAAGATTTAATTCAATGATTTATATCTACTTTTGTTTCTTGCTGTTGTTGAACAGGCTTTATATTGGCTAAACTGCACATCCTGGAAGAAACTGATCTTTCAGTTATTTTCCACATCAGCACATGACAATTAGTGAAATGAGTTCAGGCTTTTAAAAATAGCAGATGTTGAATATTTATAGAGTGTTACTTTAGTTTATTTTATAAAATTTTGTACACGAATTTTAGATTCAAATGTAAAAGAATGTCTGAAATGAGTAATTGCACATGCCAAATAGTTTTTTTTATATATTTCAGGGTTATGATTATCGGAAGTCACTTCTTTCTTTGATAAATTGGAACTTAATATGATGTAAGGCAAATTACCTCAAAAGATAAAATCCAAGTGATCATACATAAATGTATCATGTGGTGTCAAATAAAACTTCAATAAATACAAGGTGGCAGAAACAAAAGTTATGTAAATTATTCATCCATAAAATCTGCATTAGCTAGTTTGTAAAGAAAATATATTTATCCCAAATGACACTATTGCTAAGCTACATGGCTTAGATGAGGAAAATTAAATCCGGAAATCTCTCTCATAAATGTACTCAGAAATATAACACTTTTGCAACAAGAATTGAATTTTGCTCCTTTGTTTTACTCAGCAAAAAAAAAAGAAACATTTGTAATTTTATAATAATGCTGTTTTAAATTTCAGGCATTTATTTATTTAAAAAATTAAATTACTAATCAGTGAAAACTATATTCATGCATATATGAAAAACTAGGTTTTGTAATTTTACCTCAAATTTTTATGGTAATGCACAGTTCATGGTGTTTTTTTCAGCTATTGAAAACATTAATATTACTTTGCTGTTAATATTAACAGGTGAGAAAAATAACATATTTACGTAATAATTAGATTTAATTTGATATTTTACTGCTAAGCACTATGTCTTTTTATTTTCTAAGTTTTCAACAATAGACTCTCATTCCTCCAATAATATTTTGGCAACAGAAGTATGTTTGAAACTCCCAATATATTCAGATTTCTTGAATATTCCCTTTTATGGTAAGTATGAAGATAAGTAATTATATTCTTGTGCTTATACTCATAAGGAAGTTGTGAGACGACTTGGTTTATGTTTATTTGTTATAAAGAACAATTCATTATTTGCTATACAAAAAGTGTAATTAATATCTTATTTAGTGATAGTTTCATTTTTCTCCCACTGGTTTGAATTACACATTCTAACGATTGTTGGTGAGAGGAACTTCCTCATATCATTTCTACCTATGAAGTGTATTATTTCATGGCCAAGACAGTCATACTCAGGTTGGGCTACATAATTTGTGGGGTTCAATTCAAAATGAAAATGTGGGGTCTTTTGTTGCAAATTATTAAGAATTCCAAAATGGCAGCAGCACAGCATTAATCCAAGAGTAGATCCATGTGAGCATGGTACCCTGTGCAACTGGACAGGTCATAGGTCCATGAAGTCAGTCCCATAGACACACTGTGACACAATCAATGTATTGTAGCATTGGAGAGTATGGCCTCCAGAGCCACACGCCTACGTTTTAATTCTACATTATCAATTCTTTACCTGTTAGACTTTAGGCGAGTTACTTAAAAGCTCTCTGCCTCAGTGGTTTTATCTTCATTAAATAATGATTATAGTATGTAATTTATGAGATTATTTTGAGGAATGAATACTATATGTAAAAGCTCAAGGAATAACATCTGACATGAGTAAGCTATCAATAATATTAGGTAGTATTAGTTTATATGAAGCGGTTATTTTTAATAGATACAACTAGTGAATCAACTCATGTAGATCATCCTTTTTCATGCTATTTCCATGAGATAACATCTTATATTTGGCACGCTTTTGTTGCTTTTTTTTTTTGAGACAAATTCTTGCTCTGTCACCCAGGCTAGAGTACAGTAGCTCAGTCAATTATGGATAACTGCAGCCTCAACCTCCAAGATTCAAGCAATACTCCTCCCTCAGCCCCCTGAGGAGCTGAGACTATAGGCACATGCCACCATGGCTGGCTAATTTTCATATTTTTGTAGAGACATGCATTTTTGCACATTGTCTGACTGGTCTTGAACTCCTAGACTGAAGTCATCCACCTGCCTTGGCCTCCCAAAGTGCTAGGATTATTTCTTGCAATTTTGAAGACTATTACTATGAGAGAAGATCAGAGGATACAACTCTGGTTCCCAAATTTACATTCTCACAGGTTTATACTACTCTGGCATTTAATTTAAAGGGCAAAATTAAGATCAATCTATTATCCATCTGATACTTCTGTAAATCCAATGGACATTACAATCTGGATTTTATAAGCCAGTTTTGACTTAATTTTGCTATTTTGAAAATATGATTAAAGGTACAATTATATAAGGTCTATAATTTATATTCAAATATTTCAGAATTGACCATGTTAAATCAATGTATGTGCATTTGTGTTAATCTAGACACTATGGGAATCTAGTTGACATATTCCTGCAATCATTTTCCCCAGGGGGTCAGCTAACATTTAAAGTTAGGAAGTCCATACTGCAGAAGTAAATTCATCAAGCATTTCTAACATCTACACCTTGACTCAACATCAGGAGCTTTACCAATTAGCATAATGAATGTTAAAAATGGATCCCTATTAATGAAATTACTAGTGTTCAAGCTGTTTTATTTAAAATAGTTTCTACAACCTTTACACTTTTGTATGGTCAAGGTGTAAGGATCAAGTGAAACCTTGCCCTGTAGACTAAGGGATAGCATCCTCCATTTGACTTTTAACTGGTTCTGAGCCGAGTTATTGGTTCCAAGAATACCTTTTATCACCTCAGACTGCCTGATTATTTAGCCTAACCCTACTTATAGAATCAGGTGAATTTTTCAATGATAGTACCTGTGTTAGGCCATTCTTGCATTGCTATAAAGAAACACTTTAAGGAGCTTTCACTCATGATGGAAGGTGAAGAGGCAGCAGCCACATTACATGGTGAAAGAAGGAGCAAGAGAGAGAGATGGGAAGGTGCCAGACACTTTTAAACAATTGGAACTCTGAAAACTCACTCACTATTGTGAGAACAGCACCAAGAAGGTGGTACTAAACCATTCATGAGAAATCTGCCCCCATGATCCAATCACCTCCCACCAATCCCCACCCCCCTCCAAAACTGGTGATTACATTTCAACGTGAGGTTTGGGAGAACCAATATTCAACTTATGTCACTCCACGTTTGGTCCCCAAATCTCATATTCTTCTCACATTGCAAAATAGAATCATCAGCATCACTCAAATGTCGAAAGTCCAAAGTCTCATCTGAGATTAGTTTCTTCTATTTATGAATCAGGAAAACCAAAACAAGTTACTTCCAAGATACAATGGGGGTGCAGGCATTGGATAAGCATTTTTATTCCAAAAGGGAGAAATTGACCAAAAGAAAGGGGTAACAGGCTACATACAAGTTCAAAACCTAGCAAGGCAGTCATTACATCTTAAAACTCCAAAATAATCTCATTTGACTCCATGTCCCACGTCCAGGGCCCACTGGTGCAAGAGTGAGCTCACAAGGCCTTGGGAAGCTCTACCTCTGTGGCTTTGCAGAGCACAGGTCCTGTGACTGCTCAGATGGGTTAGAGTTGAATACCTGTGGCTTTTCCAGGTACAGGGTGCAAGCTACCAGTGAATCTATCATTCTGGGGTCTGGCAGGTGGCAGCCCCCTTCCTATAACTCCACCATGCAGTGTCCCAGTGGGGACTCTGTGTGTTACCTCCAACACTACATTTGCCCTTGACACTGCCCTACTGGAAGTTCTCTGTGAGGGTTCTGTCCCTGCAGTGACTTCTGCCTGGGCACACAGGCTTCTCACACATCTTCTGAAATCTAAGCAGAGGCTGCCAGGCTTCCTCTTGTACTCAGTGAACTTGCAGGCTTAAGACCACCTCAAAGCCATCAAGACTTACAACTTGTACCCTCTGGATTTGCCATCCTAAGCTGTACATGGGGCCCTTTGAGTCAAGGCTGTCACAGGGGCCTGGATGCGAGAAGCCTACCAACGTAGTGCAAGTCAGTGACACTCCTGGTCTAGCCTACCAAACCATTCTTTAGACCTAAGCCTCTGGACCCCCGTAATGGGAGGGGCTGCCTCAAAGATCTCTGAAATGTCTTCAAGGCCATTTTACCATAGTCTTCGCTATTCGCACTTGGCTACTTTTTAGTTATGCTCATATCTCTAGCAAGTGGTTATTCCACAACACGTTTAGATTTTTCTTTTTTTTTTTCTTTCTTTGCCACATGACTAGGCTGCAAGTTTTCCAAATTTTTATACTCTGCTCTCTGTTTAATCATAACTTCCAACTTTAAGTCATTTCTTTGCTCCCGTATCTGAGATAGGTTGTTAGAAGCAGCCAGGTTACATCTTAAATGTTTTGCTGCTTAGAAATTTCTTCTGCCAGGTACCCTAAGTCATTGCTCTTAACTTTAAACTTTCACAGATCCCTAGAACATGAACAAAATATAGCCAAGTTCTTTGCTATGGCATAACAAGGGTGACCTTTGATCTAGTTCCCAATAAGTTCCTAATTTTCATCTGAGACCTCATCAGCCTAGACTTCACTCTCCATATCACTATCAGCATTTTGGTCACAACAATTTAACCAGTTTCTAAGAAGTGCCAAACTTTCCCTTATTTTACTATCTTCTTTTGAGTCCTACAAACTTCCAACCTTTGCCCATTATCCAGTTTTTTTTGGTTTTTTTTTGTTTTTATTGTTTTTTTTTTTTTTTTTTTTTTTTTTTTGAGACAGAATCTGTCTCTGTTGCCCAGGCTGGAGTGCAGTGGTGCAATCTCGGCTCACTGCAAGCTCTGCCTCCTGGGTTCATGCCATTCTCCTGCCTCAGCCTCCTGAGTAGCTGGTACTACAGGTGCCCTCCACCACACTCAGATAATTTTTTGTATTTTTTAGTAGAGATGGGGTTTCACCATGTTAGCCAGGATGGTCTCGATCTCCTGAACTCATGGTCCACCCTCCTTGGCCTCCCAAGGTGCTGAGATTACAGGTGTGAGTCACCATGCCCAGCCCTGTTATGCAGTTTCTAAGCTGCTTACACATTATCAGGTA